GAGTGTGGTGTAGTGTTGGATGGACGCGGGCGTGCATTTGCGTGTGCCGTAGGAGGGCGTGCCTGGCGGCAGCAGCAACGCGAAGCCCGGCCCGGACGCCCCCGCGGGGCCGCCCGGCTACAGCGTGGCGGTGGGCCCTCGGCAGACAGAGCGCCCCACGTCCCCCAAGACGTTCACGTGTATCGTGTGCGCGCGCGAGGACGCCCTCCACCCGCGCAGCCCCGTCATGGTGCTGCCGGTGGTGGTGCAGCGCTCGTCCGTCATGTGCCGCAGCCCGTCCATGCTGCCTTCCCACAAGCTCACGTACCTGCATGGCTGGCAGGTAAGGGCGGGTGTGGATGGTGACGCACGGTGTTACGTAGTAGCAACTGTCGTATTCGTCAGTGCTTGCAGTCCAGTTTATGTACCGTATCTTTCAGCGGCGATAGGCGATAGGTAAATCACAAAAGACCCCCAAATATGGGGGTCGCCTTATACAACAGAAAGAAAAATTAAATATTTTTGTATTCATCGTACGTGGCAAATAGTTCTTGAAATATATCCTCACTTATTGGTGAGAAATTCGTCATACGGGTCCTATTCTGTACGTAGAAAGTCGATTTTCTCTTTGTCATCAGAAGAGCCCGGAAGGTCGGGCATTTATTATGCCTGAAAGAGGAAGGCAAAAGGCATATATTTTTACAAAAATAGACGTGAAAACGACATTTATTCTAGCTAAAGAAGCGGGACAAAAGGCGTATAAACAATGAAAAATAACATTTAAAAATAATTACTGTAAAAAAAATATTTAAAATGATTCACATTTTTATTCTAACATTTTCATTATGTCTTAATGTTCAAGTAAGAGAAATTACTTTGTTTCCTTGATTCCATATGACCATCCAGTATAATGCCTACGTTTTTTTAAAAAAAAATATTCCTGGCACCATGTTTTCGAAATAATATTGTGGACATCCTTTTGAATCTTGGAATGGCGTAAGTGAAAAGGAACCATATTTTTCGTTCTTTGTACTTGTGTAATCCTTTGTGTAGAGATGCGATATCGATAACAAAACTGATGTTCAAAATGAAAACATGGTGTAAAAAATACATCGACTAAAAACCATGTTTTTCCAATGTTTTCCAATGTTTTTCAACGTCAAGGATTTTAAACTGCATTAGTAACCTGTAACATTAAATTCGTGTGCATTGAAATTTGACAGAGGTCGTATATATCAATTCGCCGAATAAGGGTGCTCGAAGAAGGGGCAGACTCTATGTCTACATAATGTGTTATCCATATTTCAGTGTGCGAAATGAACATGAAGCAAGAGGAAACACAAAGGCATGGAGGTGATCTCGGGCGAGAGAGTTTGGTCGATGCCAGTAGTTCAAGTACAGCATTCCTTCGGTTCCAAAACATGAACTAACAGTGTTGCTATCAGTTATTATTTCATGTTTTAATTTTCACAGTATTGTGATTATGGAAATTTTTAATTCAGAAACAAAACATCGGAAAAGAAAAGAAAACTACTTCGGAACTACTCGCGATGTTAATAAGTATTGCCCAACCCTGACTCGGAAAGTTTTATTTTACAAACATTCTCTTATCCATGCGATAATTTTCCCTTGTTTCCTCAAGAAATACAACTTGTTAACAAAGACTTGTGTGGCATCTTATTGAATGCCTTAGCAAAATTCAAATGTACCTACTATGTCCATAGGCTAGTCTAGATCTGCAATTTTAGTCCAAACATCTAATGATGAGAGTAAGTTGGTGACTGTAGACTATCCTTGTTCATAACCGTGGTGCTTCTGTGGAATTATGTCATTCAGTTTGGTACGGTTTCTAATCTTCACAGAAATTATGGTTTCCATGACCTTGCATGACCGCTAGTGGAACTTATGAGCCAGTAGTTACTTGGATTTTGTTCTACTCCTTACTTGGATCTCCCTTTTTGAAAATTGGAGTGATAGGGGTTCATCCCCTTCATTCCAGAGGTTGAAAGTTGACCAGGGCCCTGGTGGGATAGACCTTATTCAATTAAATGTCAGTGATGCCCACTGTATTTATTTTATTTACATCAAAGTTTAAAATTGTATGTGACGTGCTATGGGTAGAAGTTAATTTGAAGTTACATATAGTGGGGTACATTGACAGAAAAGCTTTGAGAAGACTGATCAAGAGCAGAGTATGGTCAGCAAGCCATCTCTCTCCTCTTTGTGGTGGTATCTGGGTGCGCTCTGAAGTAAAACTCAAATAGTAGCTAATGAGAGAAGGGTGGGGGCGCGTCTCAGGCATCTTAAAATGGGTACACTGGACTAAGGGAAATGCTGACAGAAAAACCAAGGGCGGAAGGACCTCTTCAGGCATAGAGAAGCCAGTATTTAATCGCCATGGCGACCGAAACGTCGGCACCTTTGTCATGGACACGGCATCACCCATACAGCCAATTAAATATTGACTCCAGTCGCAGAAGCCTACACTCTCATAGAGAAGCCAGTTCTTTTAGAGAAGAAAACCCTAAATAAATTCTGGAGGTCGGAGGCAGCAAGGTTGGCAGCCCACCCATTGTGCTAACCTGCCCAGGCCCGTACCACTGCAAGGGGACTTATTATGTTCACTGAAAAGCAAAGTGGTTATAAGCCGACATGATGACAAACTTGGCCAGAAAATGGTACAACTCTTAATAGGAACAGGGAATATTAGAGGCCTTAACAACAAAGAATTTGATAAAAAAAAAAAAATTGTTTGAAAGACATAGATGACTACTTACCATGGAGTAGAACGGACTAAAAGAGGGTAACAGGAATTGATATTATTATAGATCAGAATTGGAGCAAAAATTTACAGTTATACTTACGTGTGAGAAAAAATCATATCCTTCTGAATTAAAATCAAAAGAGGATTCTAACTATTATTGGAGTGTATACACCAGAAGAAGGAAGAAAAACACAAACCAGCAAATTTTACAAAGCACTACAGAAGTCTATTGACAAAACAAACCTGAATGATTACTTAGCTTTGAGTGATGGCAGAATTTGGCCACAGACCAATAAAGAATGTCATTGGGACTGAAGGCGAACAAACAGGAAATGAAAATGGAGGAAAACTCAAATGCAACCTCAGACTTTTGCAACTTTCAATAATTTAAGAATAAGAAACACTTGTTCCTCCTCTCTCTCTCCCCCCCCTCCCCAAAAAAGACCACCACAAGTACACGTGGGCTGCCAGAGACTTAAGAATGATTATAGACTACTACTTAGTGCATCAAAAGATGGTACCATGTGTCACAGATTCAAAAATTTTTAAAGGTTTTGATCGGGTAATGACCACATTCCTCAAGTATGCACATTACGATTATCAGAAAGATGGGGATAAAACTACGAAATGGGAATGTTTTAATGGTAGTGCTTCTGAAGCCTTTGAAGTGCATATGCTAAAAGACAAAGGAATCCAAGCAAGATTAATGCAGTATTTGTTGCAGAAAATATTGATGAGAAATGGAATAATATTCAATATTTTGTACTGCTCAAAGCTGCATTGGATACTTAAGTACAAGGAAAAAGAAGTACTAGAGAAGTGGTTTGAAAATATGGAATGAAGAAATTCAAACGGTTATAAAAGGAAAGAAGAATGCCTACCTACAATTCCTCCAAAGTAAGTTTGAAGAAGACAAAATAGAATACAATAGAAAACGAAATCTAGCGAAAAAGATAGTTTGACAAACCCATCAATAATCCTGAAAAAACTTTGTTTGCGATTGAGAACATGACGTACATGAAAGGCAGTGGTCGGCATACAAAATTTTTTTAATAAAAAGAAAGAGGGAGTGTACATCCCAACCAATATAAAAGAGGAAGAATGGAAAGAACATTTTCAAAATTCACGGTATGATAATAATGCTCACAAAGAAAAACCATCGGACAAGGAAATTGACACCGACCCGTTGACGATAGGTGAGCCAGAGGTAGGCCGTGCAACAATGAAATGTAGAAACGCTTGCAGACCAGATGAAATACATTTACAGCTGTTTAAGTATTGCGGGGGGACCTTTAATAAATTTCAACTTCTACACCTTTTAAATATGTGATGGTCAAAACATCTACCAGTATATTGGAAGGAGGGAATCGTTAGTCCTATCTACAAGAAAGACAGAAATAATTGCTGAATAGAGGCATTAGCTTGTTCAACAGTAGTTACAAAGTATATGCAAACGTAATGACAAGTGTCAAAGCAATAGTCGACCAAATACTTCTAGAGAGAATGGGATGGTTTCAGAAAAGGAAGATTTTGTATAGATGGAGTTTTCACCCTCAAATAAATTATTGAAGGCATTTGACAGTAGGCAAATGAAGGCTTACATTCTGGACAAGCTTGGAAAAGAAAGGAATATCCAGAAACATTATTGAGTTGATAAAAAGCATGTATGATGAAACTCATTTATGTGAAGTATCATTGCTTCTAATTGTAAAAGGGTTTTGATCACACAAGTTAGAAATTAATTCATTTGGTAGTTTATAGAAAGATCAAAAATAAATAGCATATGTATTAGCAATGGAAGAGCCATCACTAATCTACTTGGAATTAAATTTCATAATGTTTGATGAACCCATTGATGATCTTGTGAAATTTACTCACAAATGTACTTATAAATGTAATGTTGTTATTTATGAATAAATTATTGACTGGAAAAATTAAAAGTACATCACTTCGAAATGTGTATCAATCCATACACAATGCGAAGATCTACTCTACTGAGAGAATTTGACTGTAGAACCGACTATTTCTATAATTCTGCTATACCACGTTTAGCCAGAATCACTAATACATATATGAATGAAATTGATTTGACTCGAAATACGTCAATAGCTAAAATGATCAAACAACTCATATTAGATTTCACTGGATAGATATGCAACAATTGACAATATTTATTTTATGACAAACGAATATTTTGTAATCTTTAAGAGCGTATAAACCTATGTATATATGAAATGTATTTAGGCATTATATGCCTGTTGGATAATAATAAATAAATGTAACCCCAAAAATGTTTAGGATTCCTCAAACTTGATTTTCAATATCATTACAAGATAACTTGTGATCCCTTCTTGCTAGTGTTTTACATTTTTGTCTAATTTTAGATAAGAGCTTTTGATACTGAGAGATACTGCTTTCAGAATTATGACTTTTTTTAATCTTTATGAATCCTTTGTTTATTTAGGATTGTATTCTTCAGTTTAACTGTACAATCTATCTTGGCAGGGCCCTGGAGTTCATGTGAGCAGCTGCGGCCATGCCATGCATCGCAACTGCTATCTGAAGTGCTTAGATGAAGGTGTGCGCCAGCTCCGGCGCCGTCCCGCACCTTGGGAACAGCCCCGTCCGAAGCCTGTGGTGATAAACCGCTTCTACTGCCCACTCTGCCACTTCCCCAGCACCACAGTGATGCCCTTGGTGCCACCGCTTGTCACTCTGCATCCCACTGTCAAACGTGCGCAGTATCTGGGCTTCGTAGATTGGCTGGAGGGGCTGCGTATCACCCTGAGATTGAGCCACATTGAGAGGCCCCGCCCTGTGGGTAAGTTTGAGACACAAAAGTTGTATTTGTTGGTTGTAGGAGTGAATAGCACCATTGTTATATTGGCTGAATGTGTGTGTGTGTGTGTGTGTGTGGGTGTGTGTGTGTGTGTGTGGTGTGTGTGGTTGGTG